CCTCTGCCTGCCTGTCCCTGGGGGCTGCCGGGGGAGTCCAGGGCAGCTCATTATTCAGGTGTTGCCACCAGAGGTCTCTGGCGGTTGCTAAGGGAGAGGAGTTTACACTGCAATGGGGGGCAATCCCCCAAAGTGGCCCCTTTAGTTCTGCTCTTTTTCTAGTGTTTGGTTCAGAGATACTGTTACTGGGAGGGTCTGAAGAGCCTGGGAGAAATCATGGTGTGACATGGACTGAAGCCCCTTCTGTAACCTCCCCCATCGCCCCTCTCACCCCGACAGGCTGAGGAATAGGGGAGGAGGGCTAGCTTAGTAGTTGGAGTATTGGCCTGCTAAACCCAGGGTTGTGAGTTCAATCCTTGAGGGGGCCATTTAGGGATCTGGGGCAAAATCAGTACTTGGCCCTGCTAGTGAAGGCAGGGGGCTGGACTCAATGACCTTTGGAGGTCCCTTCCAGTTCTAGGAGATAGGTATATCTCCATATATTTTTTTTTTTAAAAAGGATCACATCCACATTTCACTCCAGATCCGTCCCTATTACGGGGAAAGGAAATGGCTGTGATGGAGACAGCTCAGGTAGGGGATTTTAGGGAGGGGCTGGGGAGGGAGAGGGGGAGACAGGGTGTGATAAACCTGCTGATTCATTCTTCCAAGACAAGGCTAACCTTAACCCTAACACCGTGCGATTTGTAGAAGCGGGGATTGTGCGAGGCAGATGGGAAAACTACATGGGAAGCTGTTTTCTAACCTAGCTTTAAGAGGAGAATGGACTGCTGACTAAGATAATGGGAAGGAAAATGTATAAACAAGATTCATCTGTATCCGTTGATATACGTGAGGGGAACCTGTAAATACTTTAAACTGTTGTACTTTGGAGACCTGCCTAAGAAAGGGAAACCCCCTGTCCGTAGGCTCCCCCTGCAATTGCTTGAAATAAACTGCCTCTGACTTACTGCTAACAAACACAAGAGTGAAGACTCTGTTTCTTCCACAGGAATCTGGGGGTGACATGGACTGAAGCCCCTTCTGTAACCTCCCCCATCGCCCCGACAGGCTGAGGAATCACGTTCACATGTCGCTCCAGATCGTCCCGTCTTCCAGGAGACAGGGAAGGGAAATGTCTGTGATGGAGCCAGCTCAGGTAGGGGA